GCTCTGTTGTTTGGTTCATGTATACATAGCACTGCTACCTCTTGTTGTATTGACCACTTTCCTCCCTCCCTCCTTCCCTCTCCTCCTCTTTCTCTCCCTTTTCCTTTTTGAGATAAGGTATTACTATGTAGCCTGGGTTCCTGGAACTCGTTATGTAGGCCAGGCTGACCTAAACTCCCAAAGATCCACCTGCCTCTGCATCCACAGTCCTGAGGTTAAAGGTATGCACCCTTACCCCAGCTCAGTGACCCTTTTATCATATAATTTCCCTTTAGTAATTTCTTTGCTCTAGAGTCCACTTTATTGTTATTCTATTATTTCTGCTTTCTTTTGATTAGTGTTTGTATGACATATTCCTTTTCTCATTTTTTTTCACTTTCATTCTACCTATATTTTTTGAAGCAAGTGTCTCATATGGTATTTAGTTAAATCATATTTCATTTCTGGCAATCTCTTTTGTTTGTGTAAAGATTTTTTTATTTGTGTGTGTGTGTGTGTGTGTGTGTGTGTGTGTGTGTGTGTGTGTATGTATGTATGTACATGTATGCCAGTGCCCTCAGAGGGCAGAAGAGGACATCAGATCCCTTGGAGCTATAGTTGTAGATGGTTATGAATTGCTAGACATCTGTGTGGGAAACTAAACCTGAGTCTTCTGGAAGAGCAGCAAATGCTCTTAATCACTAAGCCATCTCTCTAGTTCCTCTTTTAATTTATGAATTTAAATCTTTAGTATCAAATTACTGTTAGAGTTGAGCCCAAGCCTGCCATTTTCTTTTTTCTTTTTCTTTATTCTAGTTCTCATTTCTATTTTCCTATCTTCTGGGATATTTTAAAATTGTTACAATCCTATTTTGATTACTCTATAATGGCTTTCAGCATGTAGTTTTTTCCATTTTAAGTGTATATATGTACATTTGCATATTAATATCATTTTACTAGCTTGAAGAAACAATAGAAACATATCCATTATCTTACTGTCAAGTATTTTCTCATTTACTTTTAGAATCACGTGAGACAGTATTTTAATTCTTGGTTTAACTGTCAGACACAGAACTGAACAGGAAGAATAAAGAACAGTGTGCTTACCAAGCTTTGGCCTACCATGTTCGTTGCCCTCCCTCTCGTCCATGTTCGTGTTTCTTTTCTTTTCTTTTCTTTTTTCATTAAAAAAAACTCTTCCTTTGTGTTTTCTAAATAATTCATTTACTGGTAGCAAGATTCTGGGTTGATCTTTTCTTTCAGTGTTTGAAAACTCTTACCAAATCTTTTTTGATTTCATGATTCATATTAATCTACCAACTATCATTTAAGTATTTTTCTCCTAGAAGTAAAGTGTTTGCCCTGGGTACTTTCAGATTTTTTCCTTTTCTTTCTTTCTTTTTTTTTAGTTTTCAGGAGCTGTGATGTGTCTTAGCATAAATATTTTGTATTTTATTTTATTTACTTTTCATTCAGCTTCCTGAGCATGTAGATTTGTAGCACTTGCTATTTGGGATATTTTTCCGCGTATTATTTCCTCAAATTCTTTTTCATTTCTACCCCTTTCTCCCTTCCTTAGAAACTCCATTTACATGAACTTTTTTTTAAATTAATTTTGAGTGGCTTGACATGGTGGCACATGCCTTTAGCCCCGGCGCTCTGGAGGCAGAGGCAGGGGAGCTCTGTGAGATCTGAGGCCAGCCTGATCTGCATAATGAGTTCCAGGCCCATTTGGATACAGGGAGACCCTGTCTCAAGAACACAAAAGTAAAATTAATTGTGTGTGTGTGTGTGTGTGTGTGTGTGAGAGAGAGAGAGAGAGAGAGAGAGAGAGAGAGAGAGAGAGAGAGAGAGAGAGAGAGAGGAGAGAGAGAGAGGAGAGAGATAGATTGTGGGCATGTGCATGTTTGCCATAGCACTTATGTGGAGATCAGAGGACAGCTTTGTGTAATCTAGTCTCTCCTTTCCCTTTACATGGATTCTGGAGATCAAACTCAGTTCCCCAGGTGTGTAGAGCAAGTGCCTTGGTTGTTGACACCTAAGATGGGGATTCCTCCTTATGGCTGTCATGTCCTTGTCCCAAGAGGCCTCCACTTAAAACTTCCTGGTCAGATACTAGTTTCCAGTTGACTACTATCTATGTGATTGTAAAGAAGTCATGACTCCCCAACCTCCCTAATCTCTGACACCATCTTAATGGAAAAGAAGCATTTAATTTAATGAATGGTGGGAGTGGAACCCTGGTGTCTCTGAGTAGTCTCTGTTGACCTGAATGTTGGTGGGGAGGAGCATCTCTGACCATCCATCTAGAATGAAAGCCTTGACTCCTTCCTTTTACTTCTTTGCCACCAGTAGCTGAGAATGTTGACATTGAGCATGGCACCCTATGGAGACCCATGAGTATAGAAATCTAGGTTCCCCACTCAGCTCTTGCTGGAGTGGATCACAGTAGGCTCGGTTATTTCTGCATGGTTGTCTAAAAAAAATTGTTTTGCTAGGTTGCCAATTTCTGGTCCCTAATACTGAATAAAACAGACTTTAATATTTATAGTTGTATTTAGTGTGTGTGTGCGCTCGCGCGTGCATGCGTGCATACACATACCATGGTAAGCACATATGAAGGTCAATGGACAACTTTCCAGGATTTGGTTCTTTCCTTCCACCTTCTTTGAGGCAGGGTCTCTCTCTTATGTCTGCTGCTGCACTTCATATGCCAAGCTAGCTGATGCATGAACTTGAGGTGATTCTCCTGAATATACACATGAGACAGTGATTGGTCCTTTTTGGTATGTTCTACTGACATTTTCAGTTAATCTGTAGCTCCTAGGCTATGAGACTTTTTTTTTTAAGGGAGACTTTAGGAACTTTTCCCTTGTTGTTCCTAGATCTGAAGTTGAGACATGTTGGCCTTATCTTCATCTATTTGAATCTTCTTATGTTTGTTTTATATGTAATGTCCATGATTTTTAGTTGTATGTTGTGAAAATATGGAAAAACTATCTCTATTCTACTTTCCCATCCACATATGTTTAAAGGAAGTGTTTGACTACTATTCTATAATAAATTTCTTGAAAACGATTCATGCATCTATTCATGCATTCATTCATTCAGTTAGGATCAAGACCAGGACCTTATGCATGATAGGAAGCAGAGTATCACTGAGCTTTTTGCATTAACTTTTCTTGGGAGAGGTGTAAATAGTCTGTTCCCCTAGATCCCTAGATAGGGCACTAACAACAAACCAAAGAAACAATTCCATCCCAAGTTCAGCTTGGTGAACCAGTGACTTCATTGCTTTCTTGCCAGAGCAAGATGCATGGTTACTTATAAGGTTTACTTATAAGAAAGTAGTGAGCAGAATAGGTGCATCAGAAAGAAGCACCTTCACATCACTTAATCTTCCACACTACATGTTCTAGCACTTCCCCAAACCACTTGCAGCTGGAGGAGAATTGAGTAGAACAGAGAGGGAGGCACAGAAATGTGTGAGTGATTGGAATTCCAAGTGAGGGTGTATGACCTTCCCCACTCCACCTTTTCTGAGGGAACAGCAGGTCCCATCTTGAGCATCTCAGGTGGGTAGTCACACCTGCTCTGTTTAAGATAGTAACAGCCATTCTGTACCCTGGAGACACTGTTCAGCAACAACACAACAGTCTCAGCCATTGGTTCTGATGTTTAACATTGATTCAAAAATTTTGAACACTTTTAAACACTGTTTACTGGTTTCGTGATGGCAGCTGTGGTGGCTGCTGCTGCTGCTGCTGTTTTAGGACAGTCCTTCAATAATCACTGCGTTAGAGAAATACTGACTTCATGAAAGCTTATGAATTTTTTTTTGTCTGTTTTGAGACAGGATCTCCCTGTAGCCCCAGCTGTCCTGGAACTCACTATGTAGACCAGGCTGGCCTTGAACTCACAGAGATTCGCCTGCCTCTGCCTCCCAAGTGCTGGGACTACAGGCGTGCATCACCACGCCTGGTAAGCTTATGAATTTTTAATGATATTAACTATATATGCTGTTGCTTTGAGTAAAACAAATCAAAATTAGTGATAAGTAAACAAACTGAACTTTGGACCTAATGTTTGTTTGCTGCATAGTTATGTTGGAAACAGTTATGATCTAAATAAGGACAAAAATTAACTACTTCTAGCACCTGTACAGAATTTTTTTGGTTTTGGTGAAACAAGTCTCCCTATTTTTTGGCACTGTTGTGTGTAGCATTTGAGAGGATGAAGGAGCATGACACTGAGAGACACATAGCTCATTTTACTACAGAAAAAATATAGCAGAAAATGAGAAGTATATAGTGATCAGTAATTCTGTAAACAAAGTAACACTTATTTTATTGGATCCTAGAAAAAGTATTTTAGTGGATACCTTAAACCACATTATGTAGCATGTTTATGACATACAATCCTTTTTCTGGCTCAGATTTGACATCAGAAGAGTCACAGTGACAGAAGAGATGATACTCAGCCTGGCAGTTACTGCACATACAGTATTCCTTCCTTTAAAGCTCATCCTTTTTTTCTTGAGTTAGTTAATAGAACTAAAACTAGAACTAAAACTACTCCATTCAGTAGTAGAGTCCAGATCAAAGTGAACCTAGAAACAGTTACCATAGATCACTATAAAAAATAAAAATTAAAATAATGAGGGGCTGGAGAGATGGCTCAGTAGTTAAGAGTACTGGCTGCTCTTGCAGAGTACTCAGGTTTGGTTCCTAGCACCCATGTGGTGGCTAACAACTGTCTGTAACTCTAGTTCCATAGAATCCTATACCCTCTTCTGGCCTCTACAGGTATTGCACATGGGGCACACATACATGCAAGCAAAACACTCAAACATATAAAGTAAAAATAAATAAAAATAATGAAGTATCATAATGACATTGTTCACCTGTGTAAGTTGTTATAAATGTTAGTAAAGAAACTTGCACATAAATATTCATCAAATAATGGTTCTTATTTAGTAGCTAGATGTATCAGACTAATAATGTATGTCCTTTCTCTTTTAGCTCTGTTGGTTTAGCTAAAGCAGCTCTAGAAGCAATTAATGGATTCAACCTTTTTGGCAACCAGGTAAAAATAAGTTAATTATTTGCATGTTTAATTTATTTTGCTATTATTAAAGTTATTTCCTTATGATCTGTGACTGTTTGAAATTTATATAGCAGCCCATGTGTGAACAACTTTTTTTGAAAATGATTTGCCAGTTTAATTTTAGCTTTCACATTATAAACCACTCCATATTTCTGAAAAAAATACTGATTTTGTTGTTGTTGGGTAACTTCTCTGTAGCCTCATTTCTGATGAATTTCATATTTTTAAATATTCCTGATATTGTGTTTCATGTATTTTCCATGGCAATCATCACACTGGTGTCTGTTTAATGCATATCAATATATATTTCATGCAGGGAGAGAGTATAGATACTGTGTACAGCTAGAGATTAAGAAATTTGGGCCCTAATGAAACCTCAACAGCCTGTACTTATGTCTGATACCTCATTTTCTCTATGAATAGAGCCAAACTCAGAAGGCCACTTTACATTTTCATGAGCTCGTTGACCAATTTTCACACCAGGAATATCTAATCACTCACCACAGATTGAGTCGTTAATGGAAGAAATGAAAATGTAAAAGCAAATAACGGTTACTATTCTAGATTAAGATATAGGATAATTTTCCTTCGTAGTTTTTGTAGATTCCTGAAGTGGCAAAGCATTGTGAATTTTCTAAGTGATGTGATAATTAGCAGCAAAATAATGAGGTTCTTAGTGAAGATCATTTTAGGGAGTTCTGTAGACCTCCAGGAGTCATAAGAAAAGGAAGAGTGTTGGACTGGACTCAGAAGTCCTCTAGAGACTGACAGGCATCCTGGATTCAACTAGTTACAGAACAGCAGTTTGGAAAATCCACGTCCTACTAAGCTGCCTTCTATGACGCACAAGTACCAAGCTGGGTGGAGCTGGTTGTCCAGGTTGGCTGTGACCTGGTACTGGTTGGCTTTATTTTGGTTGCCATGGAATTTCCTTTGAAGTACTTGAGTCTCAGTGCATGCTGTTTGCCCTCTTGTACCTTCACCTGCACCTCACATGTTCATATAGTCACTATACCCTTGCTATAAGTACCTGGATTTCAAGGCTTTTGATTCTGTTGTTAATGTTCTGCCAGCCTTGTTCCTTAGCAAATTTTTTAATCTTTAGAGCATATTGGAATTATTTGAGGAATTCAGAACAGTCCTGATGCCTGGGCTTTTCCCCAAGCTTTTCTTTCTTAACGGATACAAATGAGAGCATAGTTTTCTCAAAAGTGCTCAGGAATTCTAAACTACAAAAACAAGAACTTGTCTGTTTCTAACATAACAATGCACCAAATGTTTACTAAATGGCCTTTCTCCTCATTATTTCGGTTAGGAATAGAAACAAACTAGAAATGCTCCTTTAGTCACACCAGTAGTCCATGGGACAAGAATGCCTTTCTCTTTATCTCCCATTGTTAGAGGGTGATATAGTGTGCTAGTTTTATAAATTCCCATTTATCTTTTCTTCTACTGAGGAATGCTATTCTCATTCCTGTAACAATAAAAATGATAACATGTATGCTTATCAATAATTCCACATTTAAAACTATGTATGACTCTTGGAGTGTTTGTTTTCTGGTCACTCCATGTTCCTAAAAGAGCTTTGGGCTCAGCTGGATTGATGTTTCCCTGGGTAAGGTCACTTGCTGTTCTTGCTATTAGTACAGGAAATCTCAGGTCTTGGCTGTGGGGTTTTTTGCTTGTTTGTTTGTTTTTAATTATTGTACACATGTGTGGGCCTGCACATGCTACAGTGCTCCTGTGGAGGTTGGAGGACAGTCTGAAAAGTTGATTCTTGCCTGATACCTTGTGGGATCCAGGATTCGTCAGGTCACCAGGCTTGTAGGCAAGCTCCTATACCCACCAAGCCATCTTGCTAGCCTCCAGTGTTTTTTTTTTAATACTTGGGAAATGTTTTTTCTTGAAAGCTCTTATTTTCTGCTTTAATAAGTATTTGAGCTTCAGAAGGAGGTGTCACCTTTATAAATAATCTGAGAGTCGTGCCTTCTGCTTTTTTACTTTGGTATTTTACATAAAAGATGCTTAATTCATTTTTATGGGCAATTGTTGGTGGACAGGGCTTTTTTTCTTTGGCTATGACTTTATGTTTTGATACTTTTCATCATTCATTTCCATTATGAAACATTTTCTAAAGTTATTTACCTTGGGATTCTTTCTAAGAATAAAATATGATAGAATCATCTAGGGTTTTTTAGTGCTTGGTTTAGGATGAAAAGGAATTTGGAGTAGACCACATTTAGAAATGTGAATAGGGCTTCTTTTAGTATTCAATAGGAACGCTTTATTTCTAATGAAACATACTCATCACCTTGTGTTTTAAAAGTGCATATGTTCCTTAGTGCTTCTTAGGTCAGTAGTCACTATGACAAAAAAAGACCTGTATTAGACCTGGATGAAGCCTGAAACTGTGTTTGCTTAAAAAAAAGAAGGAAGGAAACAGGGAGAGGAATGAAGGAGAAAGGAAGGAAACAAGAAAGAAGAAAATGAAGAGAGAGAAAAGGACAGGAGAGAAGTGCTTTAAGTCTTCTTCCACAAGAAAATTACACATTTCATTGAGGTCTCAAATATATTCTATATAAATATAGTAGCAAATACATATGAGTCTTATTAAGTAACATTTGACAATGTTTACATAGAAATAAATCATAATTTGCATTATCAGATGTCATGGACATAGTAAGGAATATTTGGTAGTTCTGTGGTTTTGCTCTAAGCTCTGCTCTGGGAACCTGAGAACTAATACTCGTCTTCCTCTGTACTGGGAATACTTCTTCTTTAAAAGTGTGAAAGCAGAGTGTTCTTTTTAAAATTTTTTTTTATTCTTTGAAAATTTCATATAGGTACGCATTGTATTTTTATCGTAAAACCACCCCTTATTACTTCCCTCCAAATTGCCTAGGACCCCTCATCCATCTCCCTCCAATCTTCATGCCTTCTTTTTTATTATTGATTTTATTAATAATCCTGAGCCCAAGTAGTGCTGACCCACGATGCACATGGGTATGGGTTTGTCCATGGGACATGGGCAACCTGTCAGTGGCCACATCCCCAAAGAAAAATGGTCTCCCCCTCTCAACAGCTATTGTAGCCCTTTTACTAGGGGTAGGAACATGGGAGAACCCTCCCCACATCCGTCAATGGCAACTGCCTTCAATAGCTCTTCCACTGGGGGTAGGGACTTTGGAGCCCCTCCCTGAATCCATCTGAAGCTTGACTTGCTCTCATGAACATCTTGTATAGGCAACTAGAGCTGCTTTGAGTTGTGCAACAGTAGCTTCCCACCTAGGACCTAGTCTGTGATCTACCCAGTCATGGACTTTTGATTAGGCTTGCAGTATCAGACATAGCACCTACATATTCCTATCTCTTTCTCTCTAGAGCTCCTTCTCCCTTCCTTCCCCAGGGGTCCCTTTATACTATCCTGGCTTCTTCCATTACTCCAGTTTGTTTACTCAAATAAAAAAACTTGGAGCTAGGCTCCACAATGAGAGAGAACATCCAGTGTTTGTCTTTCTGGATCTGGGGCATCTTACTCTGTATATTTTCCACTTCCATCCATTTATCTGAAGATTTCATTATTTTATATTCTTTTATAGCTGAATATAATTCCATTGTATATATGTACCACATTTTCATTATCTATTCGTCAATTAAAAGACATTTAGGAGCTTGCATTTCTTAGCTGTTGTAAATAGAGCAGCAATGGACATAGGCAAGCAAGTATATCTGTAGTAGGATATCAAATCCTTTGAATATATTTTCAGGAGTGGTTTAGCTGAGTCATATGATAGCTCTATTTTTTACTTTTTTTGAGAATTATCCACATTGATTTCCATAGTATTTGTACCAGTTTGCAATCCCACCAATAGTGAATAAAGATTCCCTTTTCTTCACACCCTCCCCAGCATTGTGAGTTGTTTGGTTGATCTTAGCCATTCTTACTGTGGTAAGATGAAATCCCAAAATAGTTTTAATTTGCATTTCACTGATTGCTAAGGATGTTGAACACTTTCAAAGATACTTCATAGCCATTTTTATTTTAGAAAACTCTGTTCAGATCCATAGCCCGTTTTATGATTAGGTCATTTGTTTTCTGGATTCTTTGTTTTTTGAGTTCTTTATATACTCTTGATATTAATCCTCTGTGCGATGTATTGCTGGCAAAGATTCTCTCTCTCTCTCTTTGACTTCCTCTTCACTCCATTGATCATTTCATTTCCTGTGCAGACGCCTTTTAGTTTAATGAGTTCCCATTTGTCAGTTGCTGGCTGTAAATCCTGAGTGAATGGAGTCTTACTCAGAAAGTTCTTTCCTGCACCTATATTTTATAGGATGGTACTTATGTTTATTTGAAAAGTTTCAGTGTTTCAGGTTTTGCATTGAGATCTTTGGTCCATTGGGACTTGATTTTTTTATGCAGGATGAAAAATATGGGTCTAATTTCATTCTTCTATACGTGGGCATCCCATTTTCCTCGCACCATTTGTTGATGATGCTACCTTTTCCCACTGCGTATTTTTTGGCATCTTTCTCAAATATTAAGAGGCTGTAATTGCATGCATTCATGTTTTTCTATCTTGTCCCATTGATCTATATGTCTGTTTTTCTTCCAGTACTGCTATGTTTATCACTATAGTTCTGTAATATCACTTGAAATCAGGTGTAGTGATCCCTCTAGCACTATTTTTGCTTGGGATTGCTTTGGCTATTCAGGGTCTTTTGTGCTTCCATGTGAACGTTAAGATTTTTATTTTCCTTATATGTGAAACCTGTCAGAGGGATTGGGATTTCATTTATTCTATAAATAGCCTTTGGAAGGATGGTCATTTCACAATATTAATTCTTTTAATTAATTCTTTAATTGAAAAAGACATCTTCCAGTGTCTTTTTCAATTTCTTCAAAGATTTAAAGTTTTCATTATGGAGGTTCCTAAGCTCCTTGGTTGGGCTTATTCCTGTGTACTTTCTTTTTCTTT